TTAATTAAATTGACTTTTTAATAAAAACAATTCTCTTTTGATTTAAAGCTTTCGTGACTGCAGGGATTCATATTCTTGGTTCTTTCGGTAAAGTCACGTAGAAGGGAAGTAATAAAATAATAAAAATATAAAACAATAAAATTCTCACGACGTTTCGACTGCAACACAAGCAACCGTCATCAGGTGTGAAATCCACAGCCTATTTAATTGTTTTATATTTAAATTATTCTATTACTTCCCTTCTACGTGACTTTACCGAAAGAACCAAGAATATAAATGTTGTCTCCTACAACATCAGAGTGCAGCGCCGCATTAAATACGCACTACAATGACAATAATTTAAAGCGATTTGAAGCATGTTTTATTTTTTTTTGGTGGGGGGGCAGAGCTTTGTGACGTTATATTTGAGGGGGGGGGTCTGACTTTTTGTGACGCCGTGTGACGAAAGGGGGGGGGGGCCAAAATCGTCCAAAATCGCGTGACGTCATTTATGGACGGTCCCAAAGCGTCGCCATTAGTGCGCTGCGCTATGGACCTGGCAGCCAGAGTTCGATTCCCGCTCACGGCCATCAACAACCGGCGACGATTATATGAACCGGTCCTGGGCCTCCCCTAGGTCGACTCAGCCTTTATAACGAGTGCATGCTAGTGCGGTGTGTAGTGAAGGTGTGCTGCTACTCGCTCACAGCACCTGGTAGAGGCTCCACGGGGGGTCTTTGTTGCTGGTATCTGCTCCCGTTTGAGGGTTCATGAACCCACTCAGGTGGTGGTGGTGGTGGTGGTTCTCGTGGGTGTTGTGGTGAATTTGGTGGTGGCTCAGTCTTGATTTTTTTAAGCTTTCGTGACTGCAGAAATCCATACTCTTGGGTTCTTTCGGTAAAGTCACGTAGGTAGAAAATATTTTAAAAGAAATTTTTTTATAAAATATTTTTTTTATAAAATGTAATATTTAAAATAAAATATTTTGTGTTATACCTACGTGACTTTACCGAAAGAACCAAAGAGTTTTGGTAGTGGCTGTTGTGGTGGTGGTTGGCGTAGTGGTGGTAGTGGTGAATGTGGTGGTAATGGTTGTTGTGGTGGTGATGATTGTTGTAGTGGTAGTGGTTGTTGTGGTGGTGGTGAATGTGGTTGTTGTTGTTGTGGTGGTGGTTGTAGTAGGAGTGGTGGTTGTGGTGGTGAATGTGGTTGTTGTTGTGGTGGTTGTGGCGGTGTTGTTGGTTGTGGTGGTGTGTGGATGTAAGAGTATGCCGGCATTCAGAGGTGATGCTGGCAAACAGCACTTGCCCAACAGACAGAATGTATTTGTCTTGTGTGTGAATGTACCCGTGTTTGTGTGTGCATGTACACGTGTGTGTGTGTGTGCATGTACACGTGCGTGTTTGTGTGTGCATGTACGTGCATGTACGTGTGTGTGTGATTCCCGCTCACGACCAACACCAGTGACGAGTATCTAAACCGGTCCTGGGCCTCCCCTAGGGAGACAAAGGCGGCCGGGCGTGGTGCTGGCCACCCATTCCCTGTGTCCCGACTTTAATAGGTGCTGCTACTCGCTTAAGAGCACTTGCCCCAACAGTATGTTAAAGGCTATACGGGGAACTTTGTCTTTGTGTCGATGATTTGCATGTTCGTATATTTCAGGTGACCGTTCTGTTACAGAGATGCCATTTCCACATTCCGATGGCAGGAGCCCATGATTCCACAACTTAGTCTCATAGCCTATATTCAGCTTAACATATAATCAAATATCTTTTTCTTATTTTCTATCTACGTGACTTTACCGAAAGAACCAAAGAATATGAATGCATGCAGTCACAAAAGCTTTAAGTCAAGATATAAACTTTCTAGAGTAAACACCGAATTGATAATGAACGTGTCATTAAGGCGATAGCAATGTGTTACACATACATTCACCTACTCACTCACTCACTCAACCACCCACTCAACTACTCACTCACCCATTCACTTACTCACTCATTCACTCACCTACTCACCCACTCACACATGCAGCTACTCACCCACTTACCCATTCACTTTACTCACGCACTCATCCACCCACTCACGAAACCTACTTAGCCACTTACCCATTCCCCTACTCACCCACTCACCCATTCACCGACTCACCCATTTACTCACCCATTCACCTACTCACCCACTCACACATGCAGCTACTCACCCACTCACCCATTCACCGACTCACCCATTTACTCACCCATTCACCTACTCACCCACTTACCCATTCACCGACGCACCCATTTACTCACCCATTCACCTACTCACCCACTCACCCATTCACCGACTCACCCACTCACCCATTCACCGACTCACCCATTTACTCACCCATTCACCTACTCACCCACTCACACATGCAGCTACTCACCCACTTACCCATTCACCGACGCACCCATTTACTCACCCATTCACCTGCTCACCCACTCACACATTCAGCTACTCACCCACTTACCCATTCACCGACGCACCCATTTACTCACCCATTCACCTGCTCACCCACTCACCCATTCACCTATTCACCCACTCACCCAGTCACCTACTCACCCACTCACCCATTCAGCGACTCACCCATTTACTCACCCATTCACCTGCTCACCCACTCACACATTCAGCTACTCACCCACTTACCCATTCACTCTACTCCCGCACTCATCCACCCACTCACGAACCTATTTAACCACTCACCTACTCACCCACTCATCCATTTACCGACTCACCCATTTACTCACCCATTCACTCGACTACTCCCCCACTCATCCTCCTACTCACTCACTCATCCACTCACCAAGTCATCCACCCACCCACTCCTCCACTCATCCACCCGTCATACCCAGTGTAGTGACCTTAGAAAGGAACATACGCAGTATTGTACAACAATAACATGTCACTGGCGACGTTTGGGGCAATGGCCCTTCACAGCAGAAGACCCATTCTCCTAAATATCGCCTCTTACTGTATATCTAATTATTAGATATTTAATAGATATCGTACAGGGCCTCCTCTACTTACTAACGAGTTAGGTTCCAGAGTTCTGTTCGTTAGACGATTTGGTCGTAAGTCCAACTTTACCCCTGTCGATTCCAAGCATGTTGTACGGCGTGTGCACTAAACACGGGGAATGTCTTTACAAGTTGTATAATCTTCTGTAGGGCGGAGATGTCACTGGTTCTTCATGTTCTGCAGATGTAGATGCCACTGGTTCTTCACGTTCTGTAGATGTAGATGCCACTGGTTCTTCACGTTCTGCAGATGTAGATGCCACTGGTTCTTCACGTTCTGCAGATGTAGATGCCACTGGTTCTTCACGTTCTGCAGATGTAGATGCCACTGGTTCTTCACGTTCTGCAGATGTAGATGCCACTGGTTCTTCACGTTCTGCAGATGTAGATGCCACTGGTCCTTCACGTTCTGCAGATGTAGATGCCCACTGGTTCTTCACGTTCTGCAGATGTAGATGCCACTGGTTCTTCATGTTCTGCAGATGTAGATGCCACTGGTTCTTCACGTTCTGCAGATGTAGATGCCACTGGTTCTTCACGTTCTGCAGATGTAGATGCCCACTGGTTCTTCACGTTCTGCAGATGTAGATGCCACTGGTTCTTCACGTTCTGCAGATGTAGATGCCACTGGTCCTTCACGTTCTGCAGATGTAGATGCCACTGGTTCTTCACGTTCTGCAGATGTAGATGCCACTGGTTCTTCACGTTCTGCAGATGTAGATGCCACTGGTTCTTCACGTTCTACAGATGTAGATGCCACTGGTTCTTCACGTTCTGCAGATGTAGATGCCACTGGTTCTTCACGTTCTGCAGATGTAGATGTCACTGGTTCTTCACGTTCTGCAGATGTAAATGCCACTGGTTCTTCAAGTTCTGTAGATGTAGATGCCACTGGTCCTTCAGGTTCTGCAGATGTAGATGCCACTGGTTCTTCACGTTCTGCAGATGTAGACGCCACTGGTTCTTCACGTTCTGCAGATGTTGATGCCACTGGTTCTTCACGTTCTGTAGATGTAGATGCCACTGGTCCTTCATGTTCTGCAGATGTAGATGCCACTGGTTCTTCACGTTCTGCAGATGTAGACGCCACTGGTTCTTCTCGTTCTGCAGATGTAGATGCCACTGGTTCTTCACGTTCTGCAGATGTAGATGCCACTGGTTCTTCACGTTCTGCAGATGTAGATGCCACTGGTTCTTCACGTTCTGCAGATGTAGATGCCACTGGTTCTTCGCGTTCTGCAGATGTAGATGCCACTGGTTCTTCACGTTCTGCAGATGTAGATGCCCACTGGTTCTTCACGTTCTGCAGATGTAGATGCCACTGGTTCTTCACGTTCTGCAGATGTAGATGCCACTGGTTCTTCACGTTCTGTAGATGTAGATGCCACTGGTTCTTCACGTTCTGCAGATGTAGATGCCACTGGTTCTTCATGTTCTGCAGATCTAGATGCCACTGGTTCTTCACGTTCTGCAGATGTAGAAGCCACTGGTTCTTCACATTCTGCAGATGTAGATGCCACTGGTTCTTCACGTTCTGCAGATGTAGATGCCACTGGTTCTTCACGTTCTGCAGATGTAGATGCCACTGGTTCTTCACGTTCTGCAGATGTAGATGCCACCATCGCCGTCAATTGCGTGGTGGTTAAACTTACGACTCTCGGTCCAAACAGGCAACTGGACATACGGGCAGGTTTGTTCGTATCTCTGAAAGTTCCTATTTTAAGTGTTCGTAAGTCGAAGAGTATCTGTCTACTGCTCACACCAAGATATGGACAGGAGAACACGCCCCCTTAACACAAAACTCCGCCCCCTCGCATCCCCTCCTCCCCACCCCAACAAAACGAACGCAACCCATTGGCTAATCGAGCGTGCGAGGGTGGGGGGTGTGGAGAGAGGGGGGCGTGTGGTATGCAAATTTTTTATGGACATTTATTCACCACATAAGCCTCTGGGTGCGACGCGAAATTCTTATACGTTGAGTGGCCGACGGCTGTGGGTTCGCTCTAAGCAGTGCTGTGTGGTGTGTGTGTGTGTTGTTGAGTATGTGGGGTGTTGTGAGTGAGTGTGTATGTGACGACCTGTCATCCACGCATCGTTAGCTAATCGATACGATATCTAATTGGTGATTGGCTCTTCGTCTGCCCTACATTATAACTATCGATATTTAACTTTACTATATAAAATCACCTCCCTGCGTCTGCTGGCATCTGGAAGCTGTGCCGGTGCTGCTGTCGTATCGTAAGTACAATTATTACTCATTATCGATCGCTAGTTTAGTGATGTCCTTCACTCCGCACCGCCGATGATCACGGTTGGCTACGTACGGTGCAAAAGAAGTCCACCACACACACAATACATAGTCACACCAAGCTACCACAGTGAACACCTTGCGAGTATCTCTTCGTTCATTCTAGATTTGAAGCTTTCGTGACTGCAAGGATTCATACTCTTTGTGTTGCGCCCGAAACGTCGTGATTTTATTTAGTTGTTTTCATTTATTTTATTTTTTACCTACGTGACTTTATCTCTTCATTGTTAATAGACTCACACAGAGATCCGTAGACTCAGAGACCCATAGACTCACACAGAGACCCATAGACTCACACAGAGACCCATAGACTCACACAGAGCTCCGAAGACTCACACAGAGACTCATGGACTCACACAGAGACCATAGACTCACACAGAGATCCGTAGACTCACACAGAGACCCATAGACTCACACAGAGACCATAGACTCACACAGAGACCCATAGACTCACACAGAGACCCATGGACTCACAAATACCCATAGACTCACACAGAGACCCATGGACTCACAAATACCCATAGACTCACACAGAGAAACAGACTCAAGAGACCCATAGACTCACACAGAGACCTACAGAGTCCTATAGATTCACACAGAGACCCATAGACTCACACAGAGACCCATAGACTCACACAGAGACCATAGACTCACACAGAGACACAGACTCACACAGAGACCCATAGACTCACACAGAGACACATAGATTCACAGTGACCCATAGACTCACACAGTGACCCACAGACTCACACAGAGACCCATAGACTCACACAGAGAACCATAGACTCACACAGAGACCCATAGGCTCACACAGAGACCCATAGACTCACACAGAGACACAGACTCACACATACTGTCGTAAGTACGTGCACGTACTGTCGTAAGCACATTTTAATTTATATATTACCGTAAGTACATCTATGTATATAATTCGTATGTATATGTATTTACGTAAATAAGGGTATATTAGCTATCATAAATACGTGTCTACTTATATTCGCCTTCGTTCATCTTTCGATTTAAAGCTTTCCTGACTGCAGGGATTCATCTTCTTGGTTTTTTCGGTAAAGTCACTTAGAAGGGAAGTAATAAAATAATAAAAATAAAACATAATAAAATAATTCTCACGACGTTTCGGCTACAACGCAAGCAACCTGAAGACGGCTGCTTGCGTTGTGGCCGAAACGTCGTGAGAATTATTTTATTATGTTTTATTTTTATTATTTTATTACCTCCCTTCTACGTGACTTTACCGAAAAAACCAAGAAGATTCGTTCATCTTGTTCAAGTACATGTTACAACTGTCGTAAGTACATTTAAGTTAATAAACTATCGTAGCAGTCACTTTAACGCCACAGATGTTGATGGGAAGTACGGAAAATAAATATTTCCTCTTGAGATAATATAAACTTTTTCTTTTAATAAAATCTCGTTTATAAACAGGATAGGGCTACTATTTCCTTCCCTCTGCTCGCATTTCTATAGATACATAACAAAGACAAAGATCCCCCGTGTAGCCTGTAACAGACTGTTGGGGCAAGTGTTGTTAGTAGTAGCGAGTAGCAGCAGCGCCTTTTCACTGCACCAGGTATTCGTTTTGAGGCTGAGTCGACCTAGGGGAGGCCCAGGACCGGTTCAGATAATCATCACTGGGTGATGGCGCTACTGCGTTCGTAGCGCAGTAGCGCGCTAACCGCTGCACCACCACTCCCCATACATATATACAAGACAAAGACCCCCCATATAGCCTTCAACAGGCTGTAGGGACAAGTGGTGTTTACCGATCACCTGTGAAGGTCGGCACGGCACACGAGGGGGTGGGTGGCCAACACCACGCCTGGCCGCCTTTGTCTCCCCAGTGGCGATGTTTACCACACACCGCACCAGGTACTCATTTGAGGCTGAGTCAACCTAGGGGAGGCCCAGGACCGGTTCAGATAATCGTCACTGGTGTTTTCCGTGAGCGAAAATCGAACCCTGGTTCGTAGTGCAGCGCGCTAACCGCTACACTACCGCTCCCCACCAAATATACATCCACACACACACACTCACACACACAGTGACACACACTCACAGTGACACACACACGCTCACACACACACAGTGACACACACACACTCACACACACACAGTAACACACACACGCTCACACACACACTCACACACACACAGTGACACACACACAGTGACACACACATGCTCACACACACTCACACACACAGTGACACACACACACACCCTCACACACAGTGACACACACACAGTGACACACACACACACTCACACACACAGTGACACACACAGTGACACACACACACTCACACACACAGTGACACACACAGTGACACACACACGCTCACACACACACACGCTCACACACACACTCACACACACAGTGAGACACACACAGTGACACACACACGCTCACACACACTCACACACACAGTGACACACACAAAGTGACACACACACGCTCACACACACTCACACACACAGTGACACACACTCACAGTGACACACACACGCTCACACACACAGTGACACACACACAGTGACACACATACTCACACACACAGTGACACACACACAGTGACACACACACGCTCACACACACAGTGGGACACACACAGTGACACGCACACGCTCACACACACTCACACACACAGTGACACACACACACAGTGACACACACACATGCTCACACACACTCACACACACACACTCACACACATTCACACACACAGTGACACACACACAGTGACACACACATGCTCACACACAGTGACACACACAGTGACACACACACTCACACACACACAGTGACACACACACGCTCACACACACACACGCAGTGACACACACACAGTGACACACACACGCTCACACACACGCTCACACACACACACTCACACACACTCACACACACAGTGACACACACACACACTCACACACACAGTTACACACACACACACGCTCACACACACACACAGTGACACACACACAGTGACACACACACGCTCACCCTCACACACACAGTGACACACACACAGTGACACACACACCCTCACACACACACACGCTCACACACACACAGTGACACACACACAGTGACACACACACACTCACACACACACAGTGACACACACACAGTGACACACACTCACACACACACAGTGACACACACACACTCACACACACACAGTGACACACACACACTCACACACACACAGTGACACACAACAACAACAACAACCGCCATTCGCCACTAAGTGGCGGTGACGTCACCACGATGCTTGTGCCAGGCCAAGTGCACCTTGAGGCCACGTGAAGTGTCGAAAGCCCGCTGGCAGGAGGTCACGGGGCAGACCCAGGTGCCACTGGTCGACTGACCGAGATGACCGAGATGACTGGCTGATGCACCACCTGTGCCCCCTACTGTGCCAACTTGCTGTGCTTTAGCCACCCGGCGCTCCGCTCGTTGTTGTGAGCGTCGCTCCTCCGCCCTCCGTTGTTGTTGGAGGGCGACTGCCTCCAACTGCCCAGTAGCGTCCTTCACGAGCCTCCTCCACTGAGGCCGATCTTGACACCGCTGGTACCAGTCATCGGCAAGTCCACTCAGCTCCACGTCCTCCTGTACCACATCACTCCATCTCTTCTCCAGCCCGTGCCGCGCCCGTCTAGCCCCCTCGATCCGGCCGAACAAAAGCTGTTTAGGCATGCGGTGGCTGGGCATGCGGGCTACATGACCCAGCCAACGCAGCCTTGCCTGCCGGAGGAGCTCACTGATGGGACTTTGCCCAGATCTTTCAAGGATTTGTGAGCTCCTCACACAATCCAGCCTGGTTAAACCCAGGATGGATCGTAGGCAGGCCAGCCTAAATGTTTCCAACCGGCGAAGATGCTCCACCAGGGGGGTCCACGTCTCGCAAGCGTAGAGAAGGGAGGGAATGACCGTGGCCGAGAAGACCTGAAGCTTCGTGCGGAGCGACAGACCAGGTAGCTTCCACACAGCGTTACGCAACCGATGAAAAGATATTGCCGCTCGACTGATTCGGAGTGAGACCTCTGCTGATAGACTGGAGCCGGTCATAAGCACACTGCCCAGGTATGGGAAACTCTCCACTCTCTCCACAACTGCCCCATCACCAATTGGGAGTTGTGGGGGTGGAGTGTCCGATGGTACAAAATACCCAGGCAGGTGCTTGGTTTTGGTGGGGCTGATGGTAAGGCCCCACCTCTTAGTGGCACGCTCCAGTCTCAGCAGCAGCGCCTCCAACTCCTCTTCTGAATGAGCAGCTATTACCAAATCATCGGCATACATAACGTGGTTGACCAATAGGGAGCTCACACACACACAGTGACACACACACAGTGACACACACACTCACACACACAGTGACACACACACACGCTCACACACACACGCGCGCGCGTGGCACACGAGGGGGTGGTGTGCCCAGCACCACGCCCGGCCGCCTTTGTCTCTCCCCAGTGGCCGATTTAGGCCAAGTCAACCTCGGGGAAGTCCAGAACCGATTCTGAACATCGCTATCATTGGATGTTGATGGCCGTGAGCAGGAATCGAACTCGGGTCGCCGGGTTCGTAACGCAGCTTCCTAAACATCTCTCGGGGCGGTCCACCACATCCAGTATTCATCTCCTGCTGCGGCTGCAGCCACTCGAGTTATGTTTTCAGTCTTGTATCTGCAATGTGCGTATTTAGTTTACATCGACACGTTGATCTATTTACGGATACCCCACTAAAATTTTTCGATAAGTTAGCGTCCCTCCCAAATATTCAACAACCATAATTGACACCTTGTGAGTTTTTCTTTAGTTAATGCCTCGCATTCAGCAGTGGATTAATCATGGCTCACCACAGAGACCCACAGCCTCACACAGAGACCCATATACTCAGAGACCATAGACT